TAAGTGAAATAAGTCATTCAGAGAAAGACATACCATATGATTCCACTCATGTGGAATTTAAGAAACAAAACAGATGAACATATGTGGGGTGGGGGGGGAGGGAAACAAACCATAAAACACTCTTAAAGATAGAGAACAAACTGAGGGTTGATGGAGGGAGGTGGGTGGGGGATGGGCTAGATGGGAGATGGGCACGAAGGAGGCCACTTGTTATGATGAGCACTGAGTGTTGTATGTAAGTGATGAATAACTTAATTCTGTTCCTAAAACCAATATTGCACTGTATGTTAACTAACTGGAATTTAAATAAATATTTTGAAAATAAAAAAATATATACAAGCTGAGACTAATCAAAGAAAGATGATTTGGGGGCAAGAGAAATTTATAAGAGCCGCAGTGGTCTCACAGAGGAAGAATTGCACCGTGCTTCCAGCACAAGGCCTGATGTGGGCCTTGAGCTTACGAACCGTGAGATCATGAGCTGAGCCAACATCAAGAGTCGAACGCTTGACAGACTGAGCCACCAGGCGCCCCTAAATATTTAGGAACTTAGTTGTGCCCTTACTTTGTGTTACTTAGTGTGTTCTGCCTTGAGGACTCAGAGGTGGGCACCACACAAGCTCTGGCCCCTAACGTCCCCATTCCATTGGTGATGGCAGGTTATAACCAACGGTGAGAAGTACCCCTGGAGAAACAAGAAAAGCGAAGTGCTGAGTGTGCCCTGTGACTGGTATGCGGTGGGAAGCATCTTCCCGTGGTTTACGGGGAAGTGGGAAGGCTTCCCAGAAGGTGACAGTTGAGCTGGATTTTGAAAGACTAGAAAATAATTTATCAAAAGCAAAAGATGGAATAGTATGGGTGGTTTTGAGGAGAGTGGTTTCACCCAATATTTGGGCTCCAGCAAGGAAAAAACAATTATTTCCCCTCCAGTCAATCATTTAGAGATACAAAGTTATGAAATGTTAAAGCTGTCTACATTTCTACCTTGGGATGTTGGGGGCGGGGGGGGCGGCGGGTGTGGTTTGCCAGACACTGGCCTATATGTTTTACATACCAGAACTCACTGAACTGTCTCACAACAACCCTATGAAACAAATGTCATTATATCACTGCAGGTGGAAATTAAGGTACAGAGAGGTTAAGACATTGCTCAAGGTCACACTGCTATTAAGTAAAGCCAAGTAGCCTGGCATTAGGGTTTTCGCTCTTAATTAGTATACTACAGTGCCCTTAGAAATAAAAGTCAATTAGGACTATCCGTTAGAAATAACTATAGAGGTGGCTCAGTTGGTTAAGCGTCCAACTTCAGCTCAGGTCATGATCTCACGGTTTGTGAGTTTGAGCCCCAAGTCAGGCTCTGTGCTGACAGCTCAGAGCCTGGAGCTGCTTCAGAATCTGTGACTCCTTCTCTCTCTGTCCTTCCCCAACTCATGCTCTGTCTCCTCTGTCTCTCAAAATGTAAATAAATGTTTAAAAATTTTTTAAAAAGGAAGTAACTATAGAAACTTGAGAGGTACCTGGGTGGCTCAGTGGTTAAGTCTCCAACTTCGGCTCAGGTCATGATCTCATGGTTTGTGGGTTTGGGTCCCACATCAGGCTCTGTGTGTCAGCTCAGAGCCTGGAGCCTGCTTCCGATTCTGTGCCTCCCTCTCTCTCTCTGCCCCTCCCCTGCTTGCGCTCTGTCTCTCTCTCAAAAATAAAAAATAAACATTAAAAAAAAACGATAGAAACTTGAGATAGGTAATAACCAGAAGGTATAGCATTTTTGTGTAAAATTTTTTTCTTCTACAGAATTTGTGCTCTGAGACAGTCTCTCAGCACAGTTACTTGAAGGAGGATAGTGTATGGTTAACGGAGTTCTGGTATCAGCCACATGAAGACCGGAGTCCCTGAGAGCTCTACTCATACTACCTCAGGCCTGGATCCCATTTCTCAGCTTCTAGAAGCATTCGCTTCTTCATCTGCCAAATAATGACAGTGGTCCGCATCTCATAGCCGTGTCTTGAGAATCAAATGGAAAGGTGTACGTGCGAAACTCAGCACGGTGCCTTGCACATAGTAAGTGCTTACTAAAAGATAGCTATTATATTAGCAGCAAAGTTAATGTTATCACTTCACTGTTTACATTACAAAGCTGATGAACCGGGCTGCCCAAGAGCTAACCCAGAACTGGAGGCGAAGGCGGAGAAGCGAAAGGGCACTGTGGCTGCGTGTACACAGCCGCCTTTGCTCCTGGGAAGGAGAAGCAGCATCACATCTTCCAAACGGCACCATGACACTTTGTTCTTTGCAGCGGTGAGTCAGAAGACACAGATCCCAGGCTGTACTGATCACCGAGGGACTTAGCTTCTATGAATCCCAGTGATCAGGACCAGAGAGCAGAGTCACCTTGGCAGGCACCACAGCATGTGGGCTTGTCTTCTCTCTCCCAGGGCTGCTGGGAAGGACCACTACTGGCACAGATCCGGTTCTTTCCCTCTTTTAAACAAAGTATGCTCTTTACTAAAATGCTGATAGAATGCTATAGCTACCGTGTAATAAGAAACTTGGTCCTGGAAGCTACTCTCTACCTCTCTGGAATTTTCCAGGCGACAGGACTGTCTCTGGTACCCACGAAGGGCCCTGACAGTCTGTGTTCAAGAAGTGGTGGTTCAAGAAGAAGACTGGCCGCCAGGAGGACTAATCATGTGATCGCAGGGGTGTGGCTCTGAACCACAGGAGAGCAGCCCCAGCCTCAGGGAGGGGAGAGGAGACGGACATGGAGTGCAGCCGTGTTGATTCCATCATGTCATCACAATGAGGCTCCAGGGAAAGCTCTGGACACCGACGCGAGCTGAGCTCCCTGGTGGGTGACACACAGCAATGTGCCGGAGGGTGCCGCCCCCTAGCACACGGAGGCCTCATGTTTGGGTTGCAGCCAGACCTCCCCTGGTGGCTCTCTTCTTTTGGCGGATCTTGATTTGTATCCTTGATCTTGATTTGTATCCTTCATGCTAAAACTCTAATCCTGAATCGGGAATCCTGTGAGTCATTTTAGTGAATTATCAAACGTGAGGGAGTAGCGGAAACACCTAGATTTGTAACCATCTGGTCTAATGTGTGAGTGGCCGAACCCCTGAACTTGCAGCTGGTGTCTGAAGTGAGGGGAATCTGGGGTGGGGGGGGAGGGGCACTGTGCCCTTAACCTCTGAAGTTTGCCTTCTGGGTAGTTGGCATGAGAACTGCATTGCAATGACCAACTTGAGAAATAAGTATAAAATGATCACTGTGGGCCATCATATTCCATCAGGAAAACTGTGGAAAATGCGACACCACTTTAAAGCCATCTAAGAGCAAAAGAACACCGAAGCTTTTGAGAAACAAAATCTTTCTTTCTAAAATCTTGCTGGCTTACCTCTACTCCCGTTCATGTGCACGGGCCCTGATGCAGTCAGGGCCTGTAGGAGGCCTTGCAGGCAACTTCAGGCACTTGAGGCTTTCAATGAACTAAACCATCAAAGGAGTGTAACTCCATCAAAACAACAACAACAACAAAAAACCAGCGCAACAAGATTTACTTGTTTTCCTTCTCTTAGCTTGATCCCTAACTTTTTTAAAGTTGTGCAAGAAGACTCTAGATGTCTAAGACATGTCTTGGTTACCATCAACGCTTTTATCCAATCATTCATTCATGAGACACTATATATCAGCAGCTGCTAGGTGTCCAGCACCAGGCCAAAGGCAGTGAAAAGAATGCAAACTCGGCCTCAGAAGTTTCCTGGAGCTCCATTTGCTAGCTCTGTGACCTTCAGCAAGTCATTGGCCCTTTTTTAAAGGTAAGAAGGTTGGACTAGATCCCATTACTGGGATGACAAAAGTCCGCTCTAATTCTAAATGCTGTTGATCCCTTGAGTCAGCCTGTATTTCCTGGGAGACTGAAGCTCGATGCCCCTCTTCTTCGCTGTGTGTTTGCCAACTCTCTCGAGAGTCTTCCCTCAGCTCCTTCTCAAACACCCCTCCTCGTTCCATAAATCTGCATGCGAAAGGACCAGACAGCTGTAGCTCTCAACAGCTTGGGTTTTCATCACTGCCTGTGTCATCCTGCTTGCTGAAGCTGCTTTTTAAAGGGGCCAAGCCTCCTTTAAACAATTCTAAATATTTTTGACGTTAGGAACCAGAACACAACAAGCTTACAAATAGATAAAACAGTAGCGTTTTCCCACAGGTGGTTAAGCTAACAAGAGACCTCTCTGTGGGAGCTGTGCTGTGATGCGCGCTGGTCGTGGAGGGGCCAGAAGCTACGGTAATGTTGTCAGAGAAGCTCCAGGGAGAGAAAGCTCCAGCATCGTGAAAGGAAGGAAGCAAGAGAAAGGGAAGGAAACCCATCTTAAGGGAGGACATCCCGCCTGCCACGCACTGTGGCAGTTGTGCTATTTATACGGATTCAAGTTTCCCCACACAACCGCAAGAATCCTAACTGGCAAGCAATGATGCGGAATGAGAAGAGATCACTGCTAGGCCAGCAGAACTGCTCTGGTCTTGCTAACTCTACGGCAAAGGCAGAGAAACAGATACTCACGTGCTCACACCCGGCCGCTCCCTGCCATCCGTCTTCTGCTAGCCTTGCTCCACGTCCCATCTCAGGTCACTGGTTTACAGATGAATTGTTCTAGGGCAGCTGAGGTAAGCATGCAGGCCCCAGGCATTGAAAAAAACAAAAAGAGCAAGGCAATAGAAACAAAACAGCAAAATATATCAATATGGAAACTTAATATGAGATTTACATTTCAACGTCTAAAACTCATGGTCCAAATGTGATCATGGTCTTTGACGGGACCTCGAGACCCCACTGCCAAAGACTCAGTCCTGGAACTTAGACCTCTGCCCCCTTCCAATTGCTCTGAATAAATGGTATTTTCCTTTTGCGACGGTGAAATCGGAACACGTCCAAATGCTGGGCGCTTCATTCATCCATGTATTCATTTTTACTAGCAAACAGTTTTATTTGGGAATGGCAGAGAATTAGAATGTAGGACACTCAAGCTACATCAAAACCGTAGGGAAGTCCACAGAGCAAAGGACAGACTTCTGTTTAGGAAGAGGGAAGGCAGTGGAAAGAGACTGTTGTGAAGGGAGAGTCCCCAGGGTAAACCCGGAGCCCGAGGCCCAGGGACCTCTCCCTGGCAGGCCTGTGCCTGGATCTCATTGGCTGGGCTGTTGCCAGGGCAAGAGAAAAGCTTCCCTCCTCGCCTGGGGTTGTGAAGCAGCACCCCCCCCCCCACCCAGGGGTGCGTCTCTTCTGCAGCTGAGCAGGGGTGCTCGCCTGCCGGCCTCCCAGTGCCACGCCAACTACACATCTGGGGTCACTGCAATGTCTGCTAAAGACTATTCTGGAACCGTTTCTTGATTGGTTTCCTGCCACAGAAGACCATGAATCTGGGCTGTGCGCCACCTGTAAAAACAACCATCTACTGTCGCAGCGCAGGAATGAAACGGGAGGCTGAGACTGTACCCGCGAAGGGGGCACCCACCGCTGCGCGCGGAAGCTCGGCCCCCCTCCCGCGTGGGGGGCACAGCGTGGGGGCGCCACCGCGGGGCGGCGGAGCCGGGGGCGCTCGGGACCCTGCGGTGGCCCCGGGGTCTGTGTGGGTGCCCGCCCTCCGCTCCACCTCTGCAGCCCGGAAGCGCCCCGGGCCCCCCAACGACGGGCACTGGGTATTTCTGACCCCAATATACTGCGATGTCTGACCCCTTGTTGGTACCTACGTTCCACTTTCCAGTCCTTTTCATCTTGCTGTTGCGCGCACTGGCCGGTTTCCCAGAAGAGCTGCGCCTTGGTGGAGGAGAGAGTGCCGTCGGAGTTTCAAAAAAAATGAAAAGATAAAGAACTTTAGCAAAAGTTCGGCACTTAGAGCTACTTTAAAATATTTTAATGGGTATTCATTTTTGAAAGATGGAGAGAGACAGGGCACGAGTGGGGGCGGGGCAGAGAGAGAGAGGGAGACACAGAATCGGAAGCAGCTCCAGGCTCCCAGCTGTCAGCGCAGAGCCCGACGCGGGGCTCGAACCCACGAACCGCGAGATCATGACCTAAGCAAAAGTCGGACGCTTAACCGACTAAGCCACCCAGGCGCCCCAGCACTTAGAACTTTTAAGAGTGACGGAGTTCAGACTTTGTTCACAGGTAAATAAAAAACATGGTCAGTCACCTATATGCTTTGCTTGTATGATAACAGATGTTCGTGAAGGTTATAGGCTGAACGTTCCTGTCATCATCTTTGTTGATGGACGTTCTGTAGAATGGGACCCATGGGACAGTAGAAAAAGAATAATCTTTGGAACCTAGAGAGCTAGTCTGTAGCCCCAGCTCATCCACTTAAAAGTTGTGTAGCTTTAGGCAAAGGAATTGATCTGTAGGGGCTCAGCTTTCCTCGTCTATTATCAAAAAGAAAGGGAAGGAGAGCCTGGGTGGCTCAGTCAGTTAGGCATCTGACTTCAGCTCGAGTCACGATCTCACACTTCATGGGTTCAGGCCCCGCGTCAGGATCTGCACTGACAGCTTGGAGCCTGGAGCCCGATTCAGATTCTGTGTCTCCCCTTCTCTCTCAAAAATGAATAAACATTAAAAAAAAAAAAAAGGAGGAAAAGAGAAGGTAGAAAAGGAAGAAGAAGAAAAGAGCAAGACAAGGAAGCAAAGGAAGAAAAATAAATGGGAACTAATAATATACACTCAGATAATCTATAGGGTTATAACCCACAACTCACTGAAAGCAGTATATACAATGTAAAATGTTGATAAATACAGCATTATTGGTAAAAATCATACTTTAGATATTGTTAAAGTCTTCTGCATATTAAAAAAATCCAAGAAATAAGCAATGCTTCCCAGAATAATTAATAAAAGCATCGCCTCAGGTAGCGGCAGGATCTCCATCCCAGCACAACACCACTGCAGTTTGCGTCTGTTGGGGGGCAGCACAGATCTGGCTTTCTGGGGCACTCGGCTCAAACCCACCCCTCCAGAGATGTCTTTTTTCATCAGCACCTTTCACAGATTACAGACTTCTAGGTTTGACTCTCCAGTGTTCCCGTAGCTTGAAGTAAGTCCTGCACAGGTTAGACGCCAGCCATCAGGCTGCAAAGTAAGTACACTCCCGTTGACAAGAGCCCCTGAACTGAAATCGTACCTGGTGAGTGTACGGTCACTGCCTCACTGCACACTGGGGCTGTTAGCTCTGGTTTGGTATCTGGTAAAGAGAATACGAATCAGGACATGGCGTCTTGCAATAAAGAGAAACTAATGGAGGTAAGTAGGGAAGAACACCTGTCGGCGAGAAATTGCAACCTCTACATTAGCCATAGCCAGCCACTGCTCCCAATTGTTATTCACAACAATGGAGAGCCTCTGGACTGTGAATGTGAGCAATGATGGACGGCAATAAAATCCGCAAATGAGTTTTCACATTGTCTAATAAAATTCTATGACTTTGTCAATCTGTGTTGACACAGACCTACACAGGACTAGATGATAAAATGTTGTAATGGGAAGCTAATTGTTTTCTTGGGTTTACGCATTTGTCTTTTATTTATATGGTTCTAGATGCAAATTCTGGCTGTCTTATAAGTGACCGTGAGGATAGAATTCAATTCTGAGTCCCTAGCAGTCAAACACCCTATTGTCCAAGCCATTTCAAGACAAACAGGGCTGCAGATGGGCAGCAAAATGAAAGCCCCAACACATAAACCTGAATTTGGGGGTATGTAGAATCAGGGTTGCCTCAAACATGGCTCAGGATTGTGCATTTTATTTTTTTCTCCATTTCTCAATTCAAGTATCATTAACATACAGTGTTTTATATCGATTTCAAGTGTACAACAGAATGATTCAACAATTCTATATATTTCTCAGTGCTCATCGAGATAAATATATACTTAATCCCCTTCATCTATTTCCCCCGCCCACCTACTTTCCCTCTGGCAACCACCAGTTTGTTCTCTCTATATAAGAGTCTGTTGCATTTCTATACACTAATGATGAAGTAGCAGGAAATGAAATTAGGAAAACAATGCCATTTATAATTGTCCAAAAATAGTATCTGGGGCACCTGGGTGGCTCAGTTGGTTGAGCGTCTGACTCTTGATTTTGGCTCAGGTCATGATCTCATGGTCTTGAGATGGAGCCCTGTGTAGGGCTCTGTGCTGACAGTCAAAGCCTGCTTGAGGTTCTCTCTCTCCCTCTCTCTCTGCCCATCCCCCATTCATGCTTGGTATTAAAAAATACCAGGGAGGGGCACCTGGGTGGCTCATGGCTGGTGGTTTTGAGCCCTGTGTCAGGCTCTGTGCTGACAGCTTGCCTGAAGCCCCCTTCAGATTCTGCATCTCACTCTCTCTCTCTCTCTCTCTCTCTCTGCCCATCCCCCACCCGCACTACATCTCTCTTTCCTTCAAAAGTAAAAATACCTAGGAATAAACTTAACCTTAACCTTCACTCAAGAAAGTGAAGGTTCTGTATTCTTTACACTACTAAAGAAAAACTTTGGTGAAAGAAATTGAAGATGACAAAATTGGGAAAATATTCTATGCTCGTGGATTAGAAGAACAAGTATTGTTAAAATATTCATACTATCCAAAGCAATTTACAGATTTAATGCCTTCCCTATCAAAAGATCAGCAACATTTCTCAGAGAACTAGAAAAAATAATCCTAACGTTGGTATGGAACCACAAAGCAATCCTGAAAAAGAACAAAGCTGAAGGTATCACAGTCCCAGATTTCAAGACATACTACAAAGCTATAGTCATCAAAACAGTATGGTACAGACATAAAAAGAGACACAGATCAACAGAACAGAATAGAGAATTCCAAAATAAATCTGTTTTTATGGTCAATTAATCAACAACTAAGGAAGCAAAAGCATACAATGGGAAAAAGTCTTCAATAAACAGTGCTGGGAAAACTAGACAGCATACACAAAAATAAACTCAAAATGGGTTAGTGATCCGAATGTGAGAACAGTACATTTTAAGTAGGCTGATAAACAAAAATTGGATACTGTCACAGAAGTTTTAGATTAGTGACTGCTTTATACCTGTTTCAAATATGCCATCTTAAAAAAAATAATAAGAAAGAGCCAATAACATTTTATGCTTACCTTAGCCTCAGAAAATAACATGTTAAAAGTTTACTTCAATTCACAAATAGCTTTGGAAGTCGTAACCTGGGAAATGGAAATGGGGAATAAAAGCAAAAATGGACATAAAAAGACGAAGGGTTTTTGCAAATATGCCTCATATGTAATTGCCTTTACGTGTTCAGCAGGAAATGGCTGAAACAAACAAATAATTGCGGAGGGAAAGCTTTAAAAAAATCACTTAGTTTGCAACTCTACTCCCATTGGCTAGACCAGGGCAAGCTTACAATAAACGCTTGATAAATATTTCTTAAATAAAAACAGCATATCAAGTTTTGTCTTGTTGATTAGTAGAAAAGATGTTCATCGAAGTTATCATTTTTAGTGCAGCCTCAAAAATATAAAATTGACAACTCTCTTAAATGTTCATTTATTGAAAATCCCACAAGCGGGGACACACAACTATAGTATAACTTACCTAGTCATTTTCTATAGTAAAGGTGAGAGGAAACGTTACCTATTGAAACAACCGCCTACTAATGTCTGCTTACTAAGCATCCATTGCACTTTACTTAGAAAAGTCTTTTATTGATCTTTGCTCCATTTCCCTGAGATAGTAATTAAGGGTTAATTATGCTTGCTTCTAGACTGTCTCATAGAGGCTTATGGAATTAAAGCTAGTAGCATATTTTGAATTGCTGGAAATAAATTAACATGATAATTATTTTAGAAATAAAAATTTTAAAATTGAGAGAAAATCACACTCGGATTTCACAGAGACTTAAATCTCATTAGCATCAGTTTTGAAAGCATTTTAACCAATGGAACCATAGTTCACAAGTAAATATAAATCAAGTGTGGAAGCCAAAATTACTTCTAATTTCTTATTCTCTTTTTGTGCCAAAATATATTCAAAATCAAAGTATAAATTTATGGGATACTTAAGCCTTTCCTGACTACACAGACTCAAAGTTCTTGAGTAAATTAAATATGTTGTAGGACAGAGGAATATTTTGTGTAGGATTTTCACAGAGAATTTTTAAAAACATTTAACAATTAAGGTAACAAAAAACATATGACAAATTATCTTAAGTAAAAATAAATATGCTAATACTATAACAAGAAACACATGCACATGATATATATAATATATAAATTTCACTGGGGTTGGGATTTATAAAAGTGAAAGTTTGGAAAATTTATACACAGACTCTCATTAAGGGAGGTTAAGTGATGACAGGTTCTTGGAAAGAAAGAGCTGGCAAAGGTTCCCAGCCCAGCCCCCTTCCAGATTATAAAAGACAATGAGGTGCCCCCTGAATCAAAGAGGAAAAGTAAGTCTCTTGAATCCAATCAGCACTTAGACAAATCTCTCAGCACTTCTGGGGACCGCTCTTTGTGGGTTCCTTTCCAATTACTCTGGACAGGCAGATGAGCATTAAATTATGGACAAAGGGAGAAATACACATTCAGCATGTTGGCCTGGAAGACAGTTGCCACATGGGTGCCTACAGAAGGCAGGTCAGGAATATGAAAAGAGTGCTTCACCTGGGCGTGGGGGGGTGGGGGGTAGGGGGGAGGGGTCTGGCCCAGACCAAAACTGCCCAGACTGTAAATCCAACAGGATTTGCCTGGTCTCTACTCTTTGGCAGCCTTGCCTTGAAATGCAATATTTGATAAAAGATAAGGTGACTCTTTTTTCC